ACAAAAACAAAACTGTCAAGATCAAAATTCGCCGAAAAGGCGTAAAATCGACCTTTTAAAACAATTAATGAGTAATGATTAATGAATGTAAAGTAAATGAATAATTGTATGAATTTGAATGTAAAGACATGAAATCTAAACCTTTATTCTAAGTGTTAAAAAATTTTAACTTGCACCAATAATTTGGAAACAAAAGTGTTTCGTATAACTCCTAACCGCGAGCAGAAACTATCGATTCTAAGTGTTAAAAATTGACAACTTTCACAATAACCGAGTACAATTCGATCTGCAATTGCCGATTAAAGAAAGAATAAACTTTTATAAGATTAAATGTCAATAATTTAAAATTAAATGGTAATTTAATGAATTACTTTATTTTTAAGGAATAGTTAATAATGTTATTAACTAAAGTAACAAATCCCACCGCTGCCACCAAATCAGCTGTTGCGACCCTAGCTAAGGTTTAGGTTAGTTTACTAAATGATTAGTAAAATGAAGACTAGTTGCTGATTAGTCAAGTTGGTAAGACTTGACATTTATTTTTAGTATGGATTCGTTTTGACTTTAAAAGAACTACGGGTTCTCGTAAATAAACATATGCATATTCCTTTTTACGTGGATATTTATTAATAACAATTTAGTTTAAACAATTACAATTACTTACAATTTTGAAATTGTTGTCGCAGAAATTTACAGTAATGAAATGGCACCCAGTTAGTTTTGTTGTGTTACAGGTTACTAGAATTTAGAAGCTTTTCAGTTCGTTTCTCTTGACACTTTTTAAGCACAAAAGAGCAACTATTTTTAACAGTTATTTAACCACTCTAAGTGTTCTTTCTGACACTGTACCTTAATACAAAAGAAAACTTGTTTTCTTAGTATCCGGAAAGAACTTGCACTAATTTAAAAAAAAAACTAGAAAGAGAATATTAAATTGAACTGTTATACGACGAAAGTGTTATCAAAATTATTTTTATTTAGTGCAATTTGTTTCCTTACTAAAAGAACAAGTCTTTTGACACTGAATTTAATAACTCAATTTCACGATCGAAGGGCCGACTCACGACACTATTCGGGCAGAAACTCACCGGAGTATTTGACATTCGGCTGTAGAAGGTTTATATAGTAGTTAAAAGGCTACCTGATTGGGGATGATGTGATTGAAAGGCACGTAGTCGAGCTAATATCTAGAAAGCACGTATTCTCGCCGATTTCTAGAAAGCACGTACGAATTTGATCATATTTTATATATTACAATCATTTGGTCTTAGACAGTAATATGACACTCGCTTTTGCTATTAATTTGTTATAATTTTATATGCTCATTTGCCTATACATTTACATGTATACGTGCTTTTAATTTAAATCTTAAGTCTGGTGTTTGAATTCATTATCTCTAGCGCTTGTATCATTTGTCGCGGTTCATGATAAGCGAGCGACGAATGATTAATTATCATGCGCATAGGTAATGAACCGACCGTTGCTCACTTATCGTATAGTTCTAGATCACGGTTGATTTTAATTTTCAATAGTCTTAGATGGTAACTCATTATTACAAAACTTACTAATTTATCATGCAAGGTTTCTATACTCTTACTAAACATGTATATATATATATATATATATATATATATATATATATATCTCCCTATATTACAAAAATATATCGCTGTCGCCGCTGTTTCAAGATTCCATCCCCCCTCCTCAAAGGTCAAAGGTCAAAGGGCAAACATAACCTCAAAAACCCCTTCCCACTCAAGGTCAAAGGGCAAACATAACCTCAAAACCCCGTTCCCACTCATAGGTCAAATGGCAAACATAACCTCAAAACCCCCTTCCCACTCAAGGTCAAAGGGCAAACATAACCTCAAAACCCCCTTCCCACTCAAGGTCAAAGGGAAAACATAACTTCAAAACCCCCTTCCCACTCACAGGTCAAACATAACCTCAAAACTCCCTCCCTACTCATAGGTCACATGGCAAATATGACCACAAACCCCCCTCCCCACTCATAGGTAACATGACAAATGTAACCTCGAAACCCCCTCAAAACATTACCTTAAACCCTCATTTATATTATTACATTACACCCCTTCTTCCCACTCACAGGTCACAGGACAATCATAACCTCAAAATCTCTCCTCTCCTCTATTCTCACTCACATGTCACACGTCAAATATAACCTCAAAATTGCCCCTCCCTCTTTATCCCCAAGGACAGGTCACAGGGCAAGTATAACCTCAAAGGCCTCTTGCAAGTGAAAGCTATAGTATATTCAAAACAACCTTTTTTTACTTTTATATTAATTATTAATAAATTATAATTATTATAATTAACAATAATAATAAAATTCATAATTTCAACATAGAATTTTATGTTATTTATGTTATTTATTTATGAATTTTATGTTTTTATTTTTTTTTTAACCAATAATTATAATTTTTAAATATTATAAAATACTATTGACGTAAATTATTAAAGAAAGAAGAAGAAAAAACAAGGGGGTTGGCGCGCGAAGCGCGCAGGGGGGCGGAGCCCCCCTAGTATATATATATATATATATATATGTGTGTGTGTGTGTATACATACATATGTATATATATATATATATATATATATATGTGTGTGTGTATACATACATATATGTACAGTATTAACATGATTTATTTTATTGAATATTATTAATTATTTACTGTATAGTATATACATACACATACATATACGTATATATCTTATCTCTAATTAAATCGAGTTTTATTATAATTTGTTGATTAATAGAAAAAGTCATATCTCGGGATCAAGTGTGCATTTTTTATAAGTAAATCCTCTACTGCTGATAAAAAATTAATTAATTAAATATTGTTCAAACAATTAATTGTTGTTATTTTGTTCATAAACTGTATTTAGGGCTAGATATTCCTAATTTTTTCACAATTGTGCCATTTTTCATAAGCAAAACATCTACTAATGATAAAAAATAAATTAATTAAATATTATTTAAACAATTAATTGTTGTTATTTTTTTCATTAAGTGAACTTAGGGCTACAAAATTAGGGCTAGAAACTCTCATTTAAAATTTGTTTAAACAAATATTAAAATAATTACCATTTAATTTTTTGTTTATACTTTAATGTTTCTGTTACAAAAAAATGCACAATTCTGAAAAAACTAGAAATTTCTAGCCCTAAACACAGTTTATGAACAAAATAACAACAATTAATTGTTTAAACAATGTTTAATTAATTAATTTTTTATTCTTTATAATTAGTAGATGTTTTACTTTTGAAAAATTGCATAATTGTAAAGAAACTAGAAATTTCTAGCCCTAAATACAGTTAATGAAAAAACTAACAACAATTAATTGTTTAAACAATATTTAATTAATTGTTATCCTTTTTTTCACTTCAGAAACATTCAAACTATATTTTAATAGGTTTTTTAGTAAATTTTTTTAATAAATTAGGCTAAAAAAGATATTTTATAAAACTTCATGATTTTTTTAATTCTTATTGTTATTAAAAAATTGTTTAAAAACAAAAATTCAAAAATCGGGATCGTGAGATTGATAGAGAATTTATCAACGAAGATCATTTTTGATCATTTTTGAATTGTACTAAGACTTTTTTGTTTAAATTAAAGAAGAGAAAATGTAGTTTCTTGTCGTTTTTGAAATTTTATCCTAAAAATATGAGAAATAGTTTAAATTTTCACTTGTTTATTAAATAAACAATTTATTTTGCATAAACAATAAAGTTTAATAAAAATTTTTATTGTAATTCAAAAAGATATCATTTTTCTATATACTCAATAAATTTTATTAAATTTCATTAACAAGCAACAGAGTAATTGCAACTTTAGTGAAAAGGCAAGAAATTTTTCAATTGTTAATAAATAATTAAAAAATTAATTTTTTTAAAAACGCATTTTTGGAATGTTTTAGTTAGGCTTACTACAAAAGATTATAAAAAAAATTTGAAATTTGAATAGTCCGTTTTAGGTGGCCCAGTTGAGAAACTTTCACCCAGTTACAAAAATTTTGGAAAAGTGAAAGAGATTTAAAACAAAACAAATTAATTCGTGTCGATTTCCTGATTTAACGTATATAGGTATGATTGTTATTATGTAATTTTCTTTGTTAAAGTTGTCGAGTTTAGTTTATTCATTTGCTTTGCTTCAAATCTCTTTAACTTTTCAAAAAATTTTGTAACTAAAAATATTATATTTTCTAAAGTGATAGAGAATCCCACTTTTTTATTGTTCAAATAGAATCTTAGCAGTAATCTCTATTTGATTATTTAAAAAAATAAAAAAAATATGTAGAACAATTTTTTTAACTGCAAAAATTAACAAAGTTAATTTATTTAAACAAATTATATTTTTTTAATTAAAATTTTGATTATTTATCTAAAGTACAATTCTTCAGGTAATCTCTCCTCTAATTTTAATTAAAATCGGTTCATCCGATCGCGAGTAATTTTTTAGCTATTTACTAAAACGCTAAAAATAACTTTGACCTTTAATAACTTTGGCAAATATTCGAATTTCGGTAAAATATTTACAGGTTTTTATTATACCATCATAGGCTATCGAAACATATAAGAATAAAAAAATTCACAGACCCAATAAAAAAAAGCCCACTTCAGAAATTCTTACCCTAATAAAATAATGTGCAAATTTTTTTGCAAATAATGTAGATAAAAACGTCCTGATTATTATCTTTTCTGGTTAAAATTATAATGACTGGAATTAAATAGCAGTCTGAACAATTTTTCTAGTCAAAACTATCTACATAACTAGAATTTGATAAATGTCAGATCAGATTTCTAGAATATATATTCTAGTCGAAATTTCAGGAAGATATACTTCAAGAAATTGGTTCCAGTGTACCGTGCTTTTAAAATTGGTCCCCAACTTTCATTAGGGGAATAATAATGAACTGACCCTGATATGAAATTTTTTACTAAATTAAAAAATAATTATTGTTATTTCTACATTGCAGGTACTTGACAGCTTCACTATGTGCCGAAGCTTGCTACTTTCCGGATGCGGTGGTTTCGGTCCTATTTTGGATAGGGTATTTCAATAGCGCCTTGAATCCGTTGATTTACGCTTACTTCAATCGTGACTTCCGCGAAGCCTTCAAGGATACAATAAAAAGTGCTTTACCATGCTGTGAGACTTGCTGGAAAACACCATCACAATTTGTCTAGCGAGAAAATAATTCCGGTGATTCAAAATCATCCGGACAGTGTTGGCATCAAATGGTACACATGCAACCAAAATGGATTCGACGTCGAAATTCACATCGTAATAATGATTCGATTCCAAACAGTTGTTCCTAATTCTCATCTTACTTTCCATCCTTCCTAAATTAAAGGACATCAAACTTTGAAAATAATATCAAATCAAAACTGTACTTGATCACTTGTTGCATAACGAGTATCAACACGACAGATAATAATGATGTACATAGGGAAAATTAAATATAAAACAAAAAAATAATCTCTGCCCTTTGGTCAAATGACGCAATACAAGCGCCCAAATCTCAACGTGGCATCGTTTAAATGCGCTTTTAGAAGATTAGCGTCTTGTGTAAATACGAGAGATGTAGAATTATGAAGAATTTGACTGATGTAAGTCGTGTTAAGTTTAAAAGGCTTAGTCTTGAAATTATAGTGTTCGCTACCTGTTTAAAAAAATTTAAAAACATTGAAATATTCTAACTTTATTTATTACTAATAAAAATATTTTTAATTTTTTAAAAAACATTTTATAATTTTTTTTATTGACTATATAAACTTGAAAATTAACATTTAGTTTACTTTTTCTTAATAGAAAATAAAAAAAAACATTTTTCACTTTTATGCTACATTGAAATGTGATTTCACATTTGAACAAAATTTTTTTATTTTAATATTTCAATTAACAGAAAACTAATTATATAAAAGAAATGTCTAAGTCAAAAAATGTATTGTCCTTTTTTACACTTGTGGCTTAGAAGCGCTATCTAAAAGAATGTGGTTTCTAGATCACTGCTGTCGTAAGTTCGAAATTCACTTAGACTATAAACGAATCACGACCTTAAGGAAAATTGCGATTTATTAATTTAATTTAAAAATACATAGCCCCGTGTGGAAATAGCCCGAGTTAGCCATGACAAAGTTAGGTTTCTGGTCAGGGGCTAGCTTGTAGTTGGGCTCCCCGGACATAGCATGGCTAGCGCCCAGATTGAATTTCCACACGGGGCGCAATATAGTATTTTCAAAAGTTAAGTAAAATTAAAACTAAGTAAGAAAACTTCTTTAGATAAAATCTTTGTGCAAAAAAAATATTAGCGACTAATAGATATAGTTTTCAAGTTTTTACAAAATAGTAAATTAAAAATATCTATTTTCGATCATCAAATCTATAATTGAATTAAGAAAAATTAAATTTTCTGTTTGTTATACTATAAAAAGTTTAGTCTCAATGTTTTTTTTTCAAAGTAGTTGAAAATGACAATTTATTTTTGTTAAACAAAAAGAAGAAAAATATGTAAAACTTGTGAACCTACGACTTACTATATATATATTGTGACAAAGTAATTCGTCACTAACACTAAAAATTTAATTAACACCTCAGTGCCCGTCACAGTTCCGCCCCTGCACAACAAAATGGACATTTCCGTCTGATTTGAAAGAATCAAAAATGTAGTTTGAAATTTTAATTATTATTATTAACAGTTTTCGTTTAATTTAGAATTATAGGTTATAAAAATTGAGTATTTTTAAGGTAACTAAAATTGAGTTTGAAGTTTATATATATATTTTTTTGTCGACAATCGTTATTTTTATTTCGAATTTTAGTTTTTGTTTTGACTTGGTTTCCGTTTTAAAGCACATGTGTGTAATCGTACGGAGAAGACGATTGTGAGAACGCCGTGAGTCGAGAACATTGTCGAGTGAGAAAACGACGCAAAGAAATGTAAAGAGTGTTTAATTTTGAGTAGTTTTTGAGTAGTGTTTGAGTTTAATTTGAGTTGATTGAGAAATTGGATGTTGCGGGAGTTCTTACTGAAACTGTATTGTGGCGAGTGACCAATAATTTTGTTTATTTTCGACGAGACACTTTGAGTGGACGAATATTATAGAGTGGCAGAATTCCGAAATTTGTGGGATTTATCTGAAATTCAACGAGTGGAATCTGTAAATAAATTACGTTCTTGGAAATTGCCAGCGTTCCTTTTTTTTGGTTCACCTTGTTTTCCAACGAGTGGTGAGTTAATAAGTAATCTAAATTTCTTGTATTTTTAAATTTGTGTTTCACGCCATGTGCTTTCAATGGCGGTCTTAATAGAATCTCACCCTAATTAATAGAGTCTCATTATTTTGTTTTTGGTTGTCGATTTAGTAATTGAGTAATAAATTATTTTATTAATTTCATAATTTGATAAATAAGAAAATTAACTAGCGCTCAACTGAGCTTTTTTTTAGTAAATTATATTTGTGAGAGACATGAGAAATTTAATTGTTGACTTGACTGAAAGCGTATTTGACTAATTAAAAATTAAAATAGCAAATAGAGTATAAGGAAATTATCTTTGATTTATTTAAAGTAAAATTCTAATTTTATTAAATTAAATTTAATTGTTGATTTCCCTCGGTCACAATTTTTGGCGCCCAACGTGGGGCAACGTTGAGACTTGAAGCACATTTTTATTCTAGTGTCTATTTTTCTTTGTTGTATTTTGTGTATGTCCAGCGAAAATTTTTTGTGTGTAATAATTATTATTTCCAGCGAATATTTTGTGTGTAAAATTTATTTTTCCAGTGCATTTCATTTTTTTGTGATAATTATTAAACGAATAATTGTCACATAACCTGAAATTTTGAAATTTGGTTTTGAGTCGTGTACGTGGTGAGAAATAATTCGGAAGTCGGACATTTTGTCCCTTGAAAATTGCTTTAGGTAGCCATTTTTATTTTTAAGGAAGAAGAAGCCCATTGCGCAGGTCAGCCGACGATATCACCAGTTTGAATTCCTGCGCGCGAAATTTTCTAGAATTTAAAATTTTTAAAGTGTTTATTGGAGACTATTCAATTTTTCGTAAGTGTAAAATTTTTTTTTGTTAACTCGTTTAAAATTCTTTCAAAATTTTTGGAGTTTACGAATTAATATTTTAATAAAAAAAATTTTTTTTTTAAATTTAATTTTTCTTTTATTATTGATTAAATTTTTTTTTGAAAATGGATAATTACACACAACGTGTTCTCGAGTTATTCAGTTTCGACCAAGCTGAAGCAGCTTGGACGGCAATTCGGTCATTGTCACCAGGACAAGTTATTCGTGGTCTTGATAGACATATGGCGAGTATTGAAGGTACTATTCAAGTACTACGCGAGCGTTTGTTTCGTGCGGAAATGCGGATAGAATTAGCAGACGACATTGACGTGCCGTGGGACGAAAATTTTGACGGTGGAAACTCGCAATTAATTTTTGATTGCGAAGCATTGCCAGAGATAACATCGTCATAACATCGGTCGTTTCTACTTCTCCGTGCACCTACAGCAACGTAATGGTCCACACGACGTCATCTTCGAATGTTCCGAGAATTTCGTCAGAACTTGCCCCTAATATGGCTAAATTACAACAATTTAGCCTATTATTAAATGACCCTGAATACCAAATGTTTTTAGAGTGGAAAGAAATCCAGCGTAAATTAGTAGAACAGGAATATTTAAATATGAGTTCCCCAATTAGGCCTTTTGAAAATTCCTAACCCGAACCGGTAGTAAAAAGTATTCCAAAAAGGGAAGAAATTTCTAAAGAAATTATGTCGAAAAATCAAATTGTCGAGCGTGAGTCCAAGCAAAGAGTAGGAAAAGAAAGAAAGCGTGCCCATACTAGCAAGAGAGGTTCACAAGGTCTAAAGGTGGGGGAAAATTCCCCTTACGCTTTCACGTCATACGATGAGAAGGAAGTACCAGCGTCCAGCCGTACCTCAAAACGCCGCAGGACCACGACAACAGAGAGACGACACAAAGTAATTAAAATCCTGAGAGATAGGGAAATCAAATTTTCTGGAAATGGCAAACAAGATCCAGAAGAGTTCCTAAATCGAGTAGAGGACTGTCAGCTGTTCACGGCAATAACAGACGAAGAGTTGTTGCATGCAATACCCAGCGTTTTGAGAAGTAATGCGAGTAGTTGGTATCGCACCATTCGCGACGATGTTTTGACGTAGGAAGAATTTCGAGAGGCGTTCCAGCATAAATTTTCCAGCGAGAGTGATGACTTGGAAATTATAGAGGAATTAAAAAGTCGCACTCAGGCAAAAGGAGAAAAGATCACAGCATATTTGACTAACCTCAAAATTATTATGGGTCATCTCCAGAAGCCACTTGCTCGTGATCTTCAGTATCGGATCGCATACAATGGTCTTACTCCAGAGTATCGTCACATGTTGGTGAATTCAAAAACAAATTCACTTTTTCAAATGGAACGAGTCTTGAGAGAATTCGAGAAAGCGAAAGCGGCAGATCTACGATACACACCACCACTGTCCAAGGAGAAAATGAAATTTCCCTCAGCAGCGGCAGTTGTTCCTGGAAAAAGCGCAAAGGTGGAAGCGCTAAAAGAAGAACAATTGGGGAGTGAGTCTTCGTCCAGCGTCAAATCAACGAAAAGTGTAAAAAAGAGAGAAAAGAAGAAAAAGAAGAGTAAAGAAAAAAGTGAAAAAGTGGATGCGATTAAAACACAAGCACCAACGACGCAAAGTGTTTCGAATCCACCACAGCCTTCAGCACCAGCGTTCGCTCCTGTTATGATGGGAACGAATCAGACTTTACCTCAACAACAGCAAAATCAGCCAGCGTTGAGAAATGGTCCGATCAATGAAGCGAATCTAAAGGGTTTTGTGGGAGCTTGTTTCCATTGTCAAGGTGTTGGACACAAGGCATCTGAGTGTCAATATCGTGTGTGTCATTTTTGCAAAGGACAAGGACACTATGCAAATCAGTGTCCTTTGAAGCAAAAATGTCAAGTTTGTGGTACAACGGGAGTCGTGTTCGCGAATTGTCCTAATTGTATTCAATTAGGACAATATCAGATTCCTTTGGGAAACTAGCGTGCGGGGGGACAGAACTGTCCTGCTCCCCCCACCACTACACCAGGGCAACCAGCATGGACACCACGCCCAATGTAAAGTTGAAGAAATTTGTGAGTGCGGATGTACCAGCGTGTAGAAGTCAGAGTGAAGGGGATTCACTCTCAGTGCAAGTAGGAGAGAAAGGTGTCATGACAACCAGCGTACAGAGTGGAGGGGATCCACTCTCAGTTTCGAGCGATGGTGTTTCGAAGCGAGAAACATGTATGAGTAAGGCGAGCTTACTCCCAGAGAAAGAGAAAGGAGTAGTGGAGAGGGAGAAATTGAGTGAGACGGGACTTACTCACACCCAGGAGTAGAAGAGGAGAAGTGTTATCCAGCGTACTGAATGGAGGGGATCCATTCAACCAATTTATGTCAAGTGAAAGTAAAGGAGCAATTCGGAAAATAATATTTAATGACATTTTTTCCGATTGTTATAATAAGAGTGTTAAAATTTTTGAGAATAATTTAAGTTTAGAGAGAAAAGCGGATTGTGTCGAGAGTCGTTGGGGACAAAAATGTCTCTTACCTGATTTTGTGGTGAATGATTTACCGAATTCT